TTTTTTTATCTATATATATAAAAATAAGTAAACTTCAGCTAAATGCAGGAATGAAGTTTCTACCCCAGTCCATTCACGTGCTTTTTTTGCCTTCCTTGAGAACTGCTTTTAAATACAGTTGGGAAATACTGTGTTTGCCTGCAAAGGTATCTCAAGATTACTGTGAACTCTGGCCAAAATGCCATAGTTCAGAAGTACAGGGCAGCAACGGTGACTGGAGCTGTGGGTCACTTGTATGACTCCTTCCATAGTACTTTCTTCCAGAAAGAAGTGGTTTGTCTCTTTCCTTCCCTTTTTTTTTTTTTTAATCCCAGAAATTAGAAATTTTGAGCTAGAGAGTCAGGAAATCTTATGGAGATCCTTGGTAGGGTCATCATCTTTCAGGGCTTCACTTTTCCCCCCTTTTCACTTTATATCTCGCTGTTGTTGAGGGGTGGGGGGCAGGTAGATTAGAATCAGCCGGATTAGTCATTTATATCATTTTCTTGTGGCTGTGAAGGTTATGGAAGGAAAGAGAAGAAAGTTCTGCAGAAAGCAGAGACTACAAGGAAAGTGGTGTCTCAGTTCACATATGTGCATGCATTCATTCCTTATTGCTGATCTTAAACACCTTTTCTGCAAGCTGTACCCCGGTCGTATGCGGTTGTGACTTGGTGCGGAGGTGAAAGACGCGATTTTAATTGGTGTTAAGCAGGTCAGAGTAAATATTTCTCCCTTTTGCAGCTGTGCTGCAGCCACAGGCTGGCGGTGGAGGGGCCTGTGTGTGATAAGAGGAGTTTAGAAGGGAGGAAGTGTGCAAGCTGGGAGAGTTCTGGGCAATCCCCAGCTGATAACACAGCGCACACGGTAAATGAAAGGCCTACGGGTCTGGCTGAAGGATAGAGGGACTCCACAGCAAATGGAAAACAAAAAACCCTGCATTTTGCAGGGAAGAAAAAGATGTAACTCTCAAAGGTTAGGAAGGAACTGAACTCTGCAGGCTGGATCTGCATTAAGCTTCTGGATACTCAAGTGGGTGTCCTTTTTATTGTTGTTGTGTGTGGGTTTTTTTTTTTTTAAATCTAGACAATAGGAAAAACAGATCCTTTAAGAGTGTAATTCTATCATGTAGTTTAATTTTTGCTAGTTTGACTGTAACTACATTGGGTTTGTTGGTGCAAAACTGTGTAGAATGGTAAGACTTTCCCAGGATAGATGAGGCATTCCTTATCAATCACTTGTGGAAGTGGAGCCCCGGAGCTGTGAAGGGCTAAAAGGCAGGCAGGCTGAAACAGGGATTTTTTTTTTTTTAAATATTTTAACCCCAATAAGAAATGGGGACAATGTTGTGTGTGGATGCCCCTACAGGAAGAACTAGCAATGGTTATTCTAACTGATAGCAGAAGAGAAGGAGAGAGAGGGAATTGCTGTCCTAAAATAAGTTTGACAAGTCAGAGATATGTTAGATAAGGCAGTCAGCAGAAATCCACAGCTTCTTCATGGAGTTACCAGTGAGCTTGAATTAAAGGAGGGAATTCCCTGCAGAAGGATGCACAAAACTAGCTTTTGGGTTGTACTGAGATATAATGAGCGTGACGGGTGCATTTGCAAGAATTAGCTTATGTTCCTAACTGAAACTTCAGTTTGTGGCTGGGCAGAACAGAGCTGGAGGCCAAATTCATGTATTCTGAGGCACATTTCATCATGAAGGTAACAGGACAGACATCTACATTTAAATAGACGACTTTGGGAGTCATGCTGGCTTTTTAATCACCCGCTATGACATTAGTTGACCATGCATGTAGGCTTTGCATGGTGCTATCAAGAAACAGAACAGCCTCCTTGCTGAGAAAACATGGCAGCAAATAAAGTTTCATTGATTCATGAAGGCCTAAGAATCTAAAATATCCTAATTTAGAAATCCTACAGCAGTTACAATAGTTTCCACGGAAAATTTTATCCGCAGTTTAAAAATGATATTAAGTGTTGTCAGCTAAAGATATAGTAGTTGCTGTGAACTCTAAATTATTATCATTTTAGAGGGAGGAACATAAGTGGAGAGAAGTGAAATTACTATGTTGTGTAGCTTGTCTGTCAGTAGAAACCAAAGTGGAACTGAGTTCTGTTTCTTTCTGATTATTTTCACCACCCACCTGTTTTCTTCCTGTTCTTGAGTTGCACACGTGACCTTTCAAGTTCCCAAAATATCAAGCCCAAGCTCTGCAATATCAATGTTTGTTGTATTTGAGCAGCTGGTGGTATTGACTGGGGTCCTAGATCAGGCAGATATCTGCTTTTGAACGCTGGATTTGAGATGCTGCTTCTACTAGGTGCCCTTTAATGCATCGGGTTTTGGAGCAGGCACTGTATAAATGACTGGCCTAATTAAAAGAAAAAGGAAACCCCCTAGGATTTCACCTAAAAATTGGTGTAAAGCAAAACAAAGTTTCTGGTTGTCAAAAAGGCAGGCTAAGGGAACCAAGCACGTGTCACCCAGTGTCTGTGGTTCAGTTCCACTTTAGTAAATCTTGAACCCACAGGACAAAATGTATTTCGTTTTTTTTTTTTAAATCAACAGCAAAGACATATCCGTGCCTCTTCAATGGGAAAAGCAGGGAGAACTCAGCTGTTCCATTAGTGTGTTTATTAGCTGGGATTTTCCTATGTTCCGTCAGAAGTGGTAAACCCTTTCTAACTTTCCTATGAAAAAGAGCACTAGCCAAAAGCAGAAGTCTAGAGGAACATATTAAATTAGGGCAAGAATACACTGATATCTTCCTGAATGCTCTCTCAGCCTTCAGGAGTTTGCAACCCAATGACTCCCTGTGCCAGAAGTAATGTCTGTGTATTTATAGCTATCTATGGATTTCTCTTTCATTAATCCGCCTCTGTGGGCACATCTGTAGGAAGGCAAGCTCCATTAGTTCTACTGTTCCCCGAAGAATCAATCTGTAATTTTCCATCATCATTGTTGCTGTGTCAAAGGTTGATTCTAGGTATTATAATAAAATGTTTTTAAGTAAAACTAAACCAAAAGCCAGTATCCTTATCTCCACCCTCTACAAATTGTCCGCTTTAAGGATGGCATCCGTGGCTCGCTCTTCCTAACAGTAATGAACTTGACATTTCTCCTGGAAGTGTCTGTTTATCCAAGTGGCTTTGATTTGCAGGAGTAGTCAGTGGTCCCTCTACCAGGCTGTGACGGGCACAGTGGTCCTAATGGTGTTATCTGGCTGCTTGACAACCAGATTTAACAAGGAAATGCTTAGCCAGAGGCTTACTGCTGAAGGCTCTTGAAGACCTACCCCAAACACGTCAAGTGCCTCAATCCCAGAAACAGCGAACAGCTCAGTGCTCTGCTCTTTGCCAATGAGTTAGTTGCACGGCGCCTTCCTTCCCGTGGAGGCGAGCGCAGGGTCGTCGAGCTGTCTTAGCGCGAAGACTTTTGCCTGTCCGCAGGCTCTGAAGACAAAGGCTGCGTCCTGGCAGTAGCGTCAACTCAGGGGAAGTGAAGCCAGTGACTCGGAGATGCGGCACTGGGATAAATCCCTGCAGAGCTTGCAGGGGTGCTCACAACCGCTCAGCGCCTTGGTCCTAAACCGTGCAGAATGGAGCTGGTGCAATGATGTGAAATTAAACGTTTGACGGTGACTGCTGCTTCTCACGTGAAGTCTTGTGCAGCCTGTGCATTTCCCTTTTCTGCATGGAGGTATTTCCACTTCTTTGGTCCGATTTGGCCACAGTTCCTCACAATCCCTTCTGTTTATTATGCGTTTCTGGCTTTAAAAACTTGATGTGTGTCATGTTGTCAGCTTCAGCAAGACATCAGGCAGGATAGTGGACAACAAACATGCTCTCTGTGTGGTTTTTTTGAGTATCTGATCAAGCTAATAAGTTTACCTGAGATCTGGACTGTTGCTGTTCCAGCAGATATGTGTATGTTCAAGACCAGCTGCTTAGAACTGCAGAGATCACAGGCTACAGAAGGAAAGCTTGAGAGAATAAGCAGCTTTTTGTTTTCAGATTTAACCACTAGTTTCTGGAGGGGAAAACATGCAGGTCATCTGCATAAATTGCCAGTGTCTCCCTTGCCATATGGTTTAGTTCGTGGAAATTATTTCATGTTCGTGGCGACGGTGATTCCTGACTAGGCCATTGTCTGCAGAACTTCACACACTTAAACCTGAGGTCAAGTATTGTCAGCGATCAAGAGCAGAGAAAGGCCAGAGCCCGCATCCCATGCGACGTGACCAACGTCAATGCGGATACCAGCCCTGGAAGAAGGAGGGGGGGACACGAGGGATGCGGAGTGGTGGTGGAATTGCACACAACTGTTCAAAACAAATCCTGCTGGAGGCTTCCTGATACAACCTTTTCTCTCTCTCTCTTTTTTTTTGGGGGGGGAGGCACTCGATTCTTTCCTGTCACTTATGCTGCATACTGATTCTTTCAGTGGGTTGCCCCACTCAAGTCACAGCAGGAAGGGTGACATAATATAGCATCTGGTCCTTAGCCCTCTTCAGAGCAAGGGTGCTCTGCTCTGTCTTGTGCAGGGAATCTCTTGTCAGTCTTTAACAGATTATAACATGACCCTGAACAGTTTAAATTGCCTTGAGTTATGAGTAAACGAAGATATTTCTGAGAATGCGACTATCAAACAGCGTTTCTTTCTCGCAACAGTATGTGTTGATTTCTGAGTCGCTCCTTGCTCTTAGTATGAGAACTAGGAGCTCTGGAGAAAAGAGATACTGGTCCTTGTAGTTAAGCTGCTGCTTGGGTCTCTGGGAACAGTTTTTAATTTGCAGCCCTGCATAATATTATATAAATCCCTTGTGGTGTGTTACATCAGTAAAATGGGAAAAAGCTTCCTTGCTGTGCAGGCTTGAAGTGTCGGTTTGCTATAACTCTGTAAAACCACAACTGATGCAAATCTAACCTGAGTGATTCTGTTTATCATCAACAGTGAAAGTGTTATCAGCAGCCTTATTGTTAGGGTAGGGCTAGTATTATGTGGGCTCGGCATGTCTTTCTCGGAGGTGATGAATTTTATGTCGTCTTGGCTACGCTTGGCATTCAAGGATAATCAACTCAAGGATTCTTGGTCAGTGGGTGTGAAATGTTTAGTCTGTGGTGTGATTAATGCTTTGGACACAACTCTGTTCAATGTCGCTAATGTTATTGCCGTGAGAAGGTAGTCAGATATGGGCACTGGTAAGACATCTGGTATCTTATTTTTGGCACAACTCTGCACGCTTCAGCATAGCGACTTCTGAGTCTTTCCCAGGTGGATTAAACAGAATCGGGCATCATGCTCATCTAACCCATTTATTTATAGTCCTGATGTGGGGACATACTGCCCAGTACTAGTGCACTGGATATCCCCTGTAGTCTGTTTCCTACATGACACCATATACAGATCCCTTGGCTATACTGGGGAGGAACGTGTCACTTACATGTGTGTGTGTATTTGCTGCTCTGGGACTTCTGCCATCAGAATATCCCACCTGGAAATGTTTTCTTTTCTTAATGAATGTGTCATAAGGCAGTTTAATATCTGGCTAGGCTTTCTCTAGGTAGTTCTTGCCCTCTCTTCCACACTTACCTGTATGATCTACCATGTGCATGTGCAGCTTCCTTTTATCCTGCAGATGCTCTTTCCTTAGAACCAATATGCTGGCTCTTGGCTCTTCTGACTTCTCGGCTCTTTGGTCTCTAAGGTGCAGAGTCAGAAGTAGTTGTAGTTTGTGACTTTACCAGCCAGTACTGGAAACGCCAGTCACGTGAACTTGCATAAAGGGTTTGTGGGATCTCACGTTGTTGTCTCTTTGCAGGGTATCATCCAAGCCTACAAGAGTGGCATAACCCTCCAGGGAAACACCACTAGCCTGGGCAGGTGGGACTTCAGTGGGTCTTTCTTCTTCTCCATCTCTGCAATAACAACCATTGGTAAGAGTTCTCTGCTCGCAGGGCTGCCTTTATAGGTGGGAAAGGAGCAGGAA